ACCTATCTGAATGATCATATATACCTATCATATATTACCTACTAAATGATCATATATTACCTGTCATATATTACCTACTGAATGATCATATATTACCTGTCATATATTACCTACTGAATGATCATATATTACCTGTCATATATTACCTACTGAATGATCATATATTACTTTAATCTCTATACTAAATGAATAATCAATCAATCACATGAAAAAAATACATATTAAAATAAATGCTTCATAATAAGTTATCGATTAACTTTTTAATTTCATGTGATTTTTAATTTCATGTGATTTTAATTTCAAATTTTTTTCAGTATTTTCTAGTACATAATATCCAAAAAATTTGCCAAACGATATTTAAAAAAAAAAAAAAGTTATGTTCTATTTCTTAATAATGATTGCATATTTTTGTAGTAATTACTTTGGTAATGTGATATTCACTTCAGTAAATGATAAATTAAAACTTGAAGATATACAGTTTATTGAAATTTCTAAATGATATTTCATAATTTATTAAAATTTCTAAAAATCCCTTTTTCCAAGTAACATTTCATAATTTATTCTTTCAGAAATTTTTCATTAAATCTTCCTATCCTTCAATCTCTCTTTTTTTTCAAATTATTTGTGATTTTATTCAGCTAAATGAAAATATTTTATAGAATTTATTTTTTTTATAAAAAGGAAAAAAAAAGCAATTCATAAATGCTGATGTTTCTTTTTCATAGCTATCTAAAATTTCATTAACTTTTTTTTTTTCTTTTTATTTTCTGGACACTATTAAAGCTTGCCATTATTACGTTTCTTTTATTCCATAGATTTTCGTTTTATTTGATTGTTTGAATTTTTTCTCCAATCTTTTCTTTTTTTTTTCTCTCGCTTTAATAATATAAAAGTATGGAAAAATTGAAATTTCATATCAAATGATATCTTTTTAAGATTATGATAATTTCATATCAAATGATATCTTTTTAAGATTATGATAATTTCATATCAAATGATATCTTTTTAAGATTATGATAATTTCATATCAAATGATATCTTTTTAAGATTATGATAATTTCATATCAAATTGATATCTTTTAAGATTATGATAATTC